TGGGAAGGTGGCTCAGTGGTAGAGCGCTTGCCTTGCATGCATGAGGCCCTGGGTTCGATTCCTCAGCACCACATAAGCAAAAAGAAAAAAAGCCGGAAATGGTGCTGTGGCTCAAGTGGTACAGCGCTAGTCTACAGCTGAAGAGCTGAGGGACAGTGCCCAGGCCTAGAGTTCAGGCCCCATGAACAAGAAAAAAAAAATAATTTAGCATGTTGTAGTTTTGCAGCCTAATGATTTCCATTTCTGTTACAACTAGGAGAATGCTGAAAGCAGTGGCTTTTGCCTACCAGATCTCTGCTTCCTGGGAAGCTGAAAGAGGAAAATTCATTTGAGTTTGTTGCTCAGGTTCAGCACCATGAGGAGACTCTTGTCTCCAAAACAAGGCTGGGTGCTAGGTGCTGGTGGCTTAAGCCTGTAATCCTGGTGTTGGGTATGCCTCAGGATGTTGGAGTGTTGCCATGTGCGAGTATGCACACTGAGCATGGGCTTTTATCTCTAATGCGGCGGGCCCTGCCCCTCTGCTTAGATTGGCTGAGCTCAGGTTCATAAACTGCTTGCCATTGGCCAGTTTGGAGGACAATTTTTGTTGTTGGTGGTGGTGGTCATGGGGCTGAGCTCAGAGCCTGTTCCACTGTTCCTGAGCTCTTATACTGAAGACTAGTATTCACTTTGAGCCACAGCTTCACTCCCAGTTTTCTGGTGGTTAATTGGAGATCAGAGTCTCATGGACTTTCCTGCCCCAGCTGGCTTTGAGCCACAGTCCTCAGATCTCAGCCTCCTAAGTATCAAAGATTGCAGGTGTGAGCTACCAATGCCCAGCAAAATCATCATCATCATCATAATTATTATTATAACAGGGTGTGGCTTAATAGGAACAGGATATCTTAATTAACAAGAACAGGAATGTAACTAAAACATTCAATGAGCTTATAACAGGATTTCTTAATTACAATGTAACAATAATAAGATATAACAAGGCCAAACCACCTGGCCAGAAAACCTACTTTGATAGAAAAAGTTTTTCTCTCACTAGCTACTCCGGAGGCTGAGGATTATGGTTTGAAGCCAGCCCAGGCAAGAAAGTCTGTGAGACTCTTAACTTTAGTTAACCACGACAAAAAACTAGAAGTTTAACTGTGGCTCACATAGTTAAGTGCCACTTTGATAGAGAAAGCTAAGGGACAGTAAGTACTCTGGTTCAGAATTCAAGCCCTAGTATCAACACACACACACACACACACACACACACTCACACACACACACACACACACACACACACACACACAGATGTAGTTCACTGGTGGAGTTCTTGCATGACAAATGAACATGAGACCCTGAGTTAGATCTCCAGCTCTGCAAAAAAATCAAAACAATAACAACAACAACAAAAATCCTAAGAGGAAAGAATTAATATTAAAAGGGAATAGTTGGTGAAGTTAACTTAATAATACTCAGAAACCAGTTACCGAAATTGTTGAACTGCTCAGCCATGTATTGTGAATTTATCCTATCTCTAGGTTTTTAGTTTTGTTATTGCTGCACATGCTGCTATTTTTATGAGACAAAGTCTCTCTATGAAGCCCGGTCTGGCCTCAAACTCAGAATTCTTTATGTGGGCCACCATACTTCTTTCTTTTTTAAACTTGTTAAGGCTTTTGACACAAACTAAAAAGTAACCAAACATACAAATATTGGATTCAACAACCCAGAAAAGTTGATCACTAATGGAAATAACTTTTCAAGTTCAAGTTAAGTATCCAGTACCCCTTTTAAACAATCCTTCAGGGCTGGGAAGATGGCTCAGTGGTAGAGTGCTTGCCTTGCATGCACGAGGCCCTGAGTTCGATTCCTTAGCACCACATAAGCAGAAAAAGCTGGAAGTGGTGCTGTGGCTCAAGTGGTAGAGTGTTAGCCTTGAGCTGAAGAGCTGAGGGACAATGCCCAGGCCCAGAGTTCAGGTCCCACGACCAGCAAATAAATAAATAAATAAATAAATTCTCCATTGTGAATTAGTTATGTAGCTACATCCTACCTAGAAATGGTAGAGACATTTGTGGCAGTGGTCTAAGAACACAGAGACTCTGCATTTTCGGTGAGTGCAAGTTTTCGTTTGTAGTCTAATGTGGCCTAACCTCCACTGCCTGCTCATGGTAGCTGTGTGTGGTGCTGTCAGCCTTGTCAGGGTATTTTTTAATATAAGAGTGCAGGGTTCAGGCCTAGGTCACAGGAATTGGTTTTTAGTTTATCTTATTCTTCTGTGTATGAAATGGGAAATACATTGACAGTTTGTGTATGAGTTTTTACATAGGAAATTGCTTGGGTTAAGAATGAATAATGGCATATTAAAATTTTAGATCCAAAGTAGCATAGATTTGATGTTAATATTAAATATGATGGGGCTGGGAAGGTGGCTCAGTGGTAGAGCACTTGCCTTGCATGCAGGAGGCCCTGGGTTCGATTCCTCAGCACCACAGAAGCAGAAAAAGCCAGAAGTGGCGCTGTGGCTCAAGTGGTAGAGCGCTAGCATTGAGCTGAAGAGCTCAGGAACAGCACCCAAGCCCAGAGTTCAGGCCCCATGACTGACCCCCCCCAAAAAAATTAGATTAAATATGATGACAAGTTGTATTTATTTTTCCTTGACTCTTCACTCTTTTTCAACAAATTCTTGGCAATTTTTACCTCAAAAAATTCATACAATGTTCAGTTTCTTTCTAATTCTGTGCCCCTTTTCTTGTTAGTGATCCCAAAGCACCAGTTTTTGAGTATAAAGATTGGCTGACAAAGATGTCAGGGAAACGTGATATTGGAGCTTATATACAAATGTATAGGTAAGTTCTGCTTTGATACGCCTTTGCATTATGTAGTTCATTCTCAAAATTACATTACTATATACTTTGGATTCCTAGGAATTTTTGCCTCCAAGATCATTAAAATCTAGTTATCTGATAGTTGAGCTTTAGTAGAAACAAAGAGTTTTAAAATTGAAATTTCAAGCTGGGCTTGGTGGCATATGCCTGTGATCCCAGCCGTATGTGAGGGACTAAGGAGGAGTATCACAAGACTGAAGTAGGCCCCAAGCAAAAATATGAGACCCTTTCCAAATGGGATGGAATGCACACACCTGCCTAGCAAGCGCAAGTCCTGACAATGCTTGTTTAAATTTCAAGTCTCTAGAAATTCATTCTAATGAGATGTTTTCCTGTTATTAAATCATAGGGGAGCTAATCGAACAGAAACAGTCATGGCCTTTAGAAAAAGGGAAAGTAAAGTGCCAGCTGATCTGTTAAAGTGAGTATATTTGTCCGTTCACAAATGTCCTGCAAGTAGTGGTGTGGCAAGGTGACATGTGGCTCTGTCTCTCAGGAGGGCCTTTGTGAAGATGAGCACAGGCCCAGAGGCCTTCCTCGCACTGCGCTCCCACTTCGCCAGCTCTCATGCACTGCTGTGTGTCAGCCACTGGCTCCTGGGGATTGGAGACAGACACCTGAATAACTTCATGGTGGCCATGGAGACAGGTGGTGTGATTGGAATAGACTTTGGGCATGCATTTGGATCAGCTACACAGGTATGTTGGCCTTAACTCTCATTGTTAGTTTACAATTGTCACATGATACCCTCCAGAAATGGATAGTTTTAAATAAAATCACTGGTTAGGCTGGTTTCTGTCATGGTCATTAAATTTGATGTTCTAAAAGGAAGAAAAAATAATCTCAGCCTCATTTTGGGCTTGTTTAGACAATAATGTGAGAGGTAATAAACTGTGTAATTGGAGCCCGGAAGAAAAATAAAAGGACTTCACAGCAGGTTCCTAAAGACGCATAACCAAAATCTCTTGCACAAAGTAGGCTACAAATATTTTCTCTGTCAGTAACCTGTGACTGTTTTATATTGTGAATCTAAATGTCTGTGGACTCTGTGCTTCTCCTCAGCCTTTTGCTGTAAGTGGCTGATGCAAACTGAATTGATTACTTTTAGGTACAGGAATTCATATTGCTGTAGCTGATTGTGTATGTATGTGTACTCAAGTTTGAAATCAGAGCCTAGTGCTTGCTTAGCTGGTACTCTACCATCTGAGCCATGTCTCCAGCTTGGCTTTTTGCTGTTTTTTTTGGAAGATGTACTCTTGTAGACTTGTAGACTTTTCTGCCTGGGCTGGCTTAGAAACCACAGGCCTCTGGATCTTAGCCTCCCAAGTGGCTAGGCTTATCAGGCTGTGTAGTTAATTTTAAGAAAAGTAGAGTTTGCTGGGCACTGATGGCTCATGCCTGTAATCTTAGCTACTCAAGAGGCTGAGATGTGAAGATCACAGTTTGAAGTCAGCCAGGGCAGGAAAGTCCATGAGACTCTCATCTAAAATTAACTCCCAGGAAGTGGCGCTGTGGCTCAAGTGGTAGAGTGCTAACCTTGAGCAATAAAGCTCAGGGACAGAGCACAGGCCCTGAGTTTAAGTACCATGACCACAAAAAAGGAAAGAAAGAAAGAGAGAGAGAGAGACAGAGAAAGAAAGGAAGAAAGAAAGGAAGGAAGGAAGGAAGAGAGAAAGGAAGAAAGAAAAGGAAAGAAAGAGGAGTTTGTATTCTCACTTAAAAGCAAATAGCAACTTGGAAAGGATGTTTTATTCATGCCTATCACTGTGAGATTTGTACTGCATATATGTTCTACTTCTTTCATGTATTTTTTTTCTCTTATTTAGTTTCTCCCAGTTCCTGAGTTGATGCCTTTCCGTCTTACACGCCAATTTATCTATCTGATGTCACCAATGAAAGAAACAGGTCTTGTGTACAGTGTCATGGTCCATGCACTGAGGGCCTTCCGCTCAGACGCAGACCTGCTTAGTAACACCATGGATGTGTTTGTCAAGGAGCCCTCCTTTGACTGGAAAGTAGGCTTTTTTTTTTTTTTTTTGGTTTTTGTCCATCATGGGGCTTGAACTCTGGGCTTGGGTGCTGTCCCTCAGCTCTTCAGCTCAAGGCTAGCACTGTACCACTTGAACCGCAGAGCTACTTCTAGTTTTCTAAGCGGTTTATTGGAGATAAGAGTTTCACGGGCTTTTCCTGCCTGGGCTAGCTTTAAACCATGATCCTCAGATCTCAGCCTCCTGAGTAGCTAGGATTACAGGCGTGAGCCACCAGCGCCAGCCTAGGCTTTGTTTTTGTCTAGTGCCAATGATTGACCCTATATGTCCTGTTGTATAGCAAAATGCATCAGGTTATTATTTTGTTTGCATTTCCCACAATTAGCATTTAGGGTCATTTGGCCTGAAATCCAGATAAAAAGTAAAACCTTGGTTAGGTGTTAGTAGCTCATGCCTGTAATCCTAGTTACTCAGGAGGCTGAGATCTGGGGATCATGATTCTAAGCCAGCCTGGGCAGGAAAGTTCTTGGGACATGGACCTGTGACTCAAGTAGTAGAGTGCTGGCCTTGAATAAAGTTGAGGGACATCGCCCAGGCTCCGAAGTTAGAAGAACACTTTCTATTTGAAGAACACTGTTGCTTCACTGGAGTTTATTTCTAACTTGAAGTGGTACTCATTGGTGATGGTGGGTCCAATATTTCTCTTTGACACAACTTTTAGTGTAAAAATATTAGATGGAGGACATTCCTTGATCCAGAAAAGGCACAGTGCTATCTTTAATCTCAAAGGTTATCCTGACTGCACACACGCAGAGAGTTAAGCCTAGGGAAGCTCCCCCGTGACCTTGCACGTGTCCATGCAGCACCTGAGCTGCATGGCCTTCGAGAACCTAGAGAAAAGCTATTCCCAGGGGCAGGTGCTCGGTCTTCTTAAACAATTACTTCTTGATTTAGTCAATTTGAATGTGTGTGTCTACGCTGTTATAATATACAGAGAAAAATAATACTCTTTTTACTTAGAATTTTGAACAAAAAATGTTGAAGAAAGGAGGATCATGGATTGAAGAAATAAATATAACTGAAAAGAACTGGTATCCTCGACAGAAAATATGTTATGCTAAGAGAAAGTTAGCAGGTGCCAATCCAGCAGTTATTACATGGTAAGTTATTACATGCTCCAGCATTACTGTGATATCTATACCATATGTACAATGTGCTGAGCACCTCAGGCCTTTGGCAGTCGTGTTGCTGTCTTCACCATTCAGACGAAGAGAGCAGGGCTTAAAGAGGCTGACTGCATGTTAGCCTGTGTCAGAGGCAGGCTGTGTTTACACACCTGTGTGTCCAACCCGATGCTCTGCATCGTCTTCAGGTTCTTGGCCAGTGTCTGGCAGGCCAATATCTGGCATAGCTGGTACCAGTATAAGGACAAAAAGGTGCAGTTTTAAATGGGTGTCAAAATATGGTTATCTACATGAAGAAATATGGGGTTTAAATTTGATTTTTTTTCTTTTTAGCAGATTTTACCTATTTGGCCCTCACTGCCATGAGCACTAACACCGTATGTGCTTATAAAATAAGAATCCACATTGCTGGTTGTGTGTAATGCATGGCTATAATTCCAACTACTCAGGAAGCATAGATTGAGGTATCTTCTGTTTAAAGCTAGGCTGGGCAAAAAGTTATTGAGACCTTATCTCAGTAAATAAGTCCTATCTACTGGGAAGCATAAATAAGATGGTGGTCCAACTCTAGCTCCAAGGTGGAACATAAGAAAAAAAGGGCTGGAGGTAGGGCTTAAGTGGTATAATATTTACCTGCCTGGCAAGTGCAAGGCCCTACCCTGAGTTCAAGCACTAGTACCAACAAAAAGGAAACATAAAAATCCACATTGCGTTAGCTGAAGGTTAATTTTTATTTTTTTTTCTTCTTGAGATTTAAAGCAAATAGAAAAGTAGAGATTATTCTTAGGAAATGAAAAAATGAGTTAGATCTAAGAAGTAAGGAAGAGTAAGTGGAAATCTGTGGTTGACTGTTTTGACAAGGTTGCCAAGGTATTCTCTGGTCTTTCCAACAAAGCATGCTGGTAAAAGAACGAAGTTGGATCTCTCTCACACCACTTATAAAATTAATTCAAAATGGAGCAAATATAAGAGCTAATCCTGTAAACCAAATAGGAAAAAACAGAGGAATACATTTTCATAGCACTGAGTGTAGCTGTGACATTTAGTATTTTTAGGTGTGATACCAAAAGCAAGAACAAAACAGATAAATTCAGAACTTTTGTGTATCACAGGATACCGCCAAGAAAGGAGGAAGCAGGCCCAGATATAAGTCAGGGACAGAGTGCTTACCTAGAACACATAAGGCAACACTGCAAAATGAAAACCATTAAAAGCTACGAGAACATTCTTGCAAATCATACATCTGACAAAGGACTTTTATCTAGAATATACTTAAGATCTCTTACAAATCAATAACCAAAAGAAAACCCAGCTAGGTGGTACTGGCTTACACCTATAATCCTAGCTACTCAGGATGCTGAGATCTGAGGATTACAGTTCAAAGCCCGGCCAGGCAGAAAAGTCTGTGAGAACTTTATCTCCAAATAACCACCAAGAAGCCGGAAGTAGATCTGTGGCCTAAGTTGTAGAGTAGCTAGCCTTGAGCAAAAAAGCTCAGGGACAGCAGCCAGACCCTGAATTCAAGCCACTGGACTGACACAGAAAGGGGGGGGGGGTTGGAGGGAAGGAAGGAGGAAGGAAGGAAGGAAGGAAGGAAGGAAGGAAGGATAGGAGGGAGGGAGGAAAGGAGGGAGGACCAATTTAAAAAACAATAAGTCAACACATTTCTCTAAAGAAAATGCACAAATAGCCCAAAAGCGCATAAAGAAGGAAAATATAAATGTTACTGCTCATCCACTAAGATGGCTGTAAGGTAGAGTATTGCATGTGTTGGCAAGGCAGTGGAGACATTAGGGACCTCATGCACTGCTGGTGAGAATGGAAAAATGGTGTGGTTGTTATGGGAAACAGCCCCACGATTCTCAAGAAGTAAAACAAAGGGCAGAGAGTGTGGCTTAAGTGACCCCGGGTCATTCTCTAGTCCTAGAGATAAAACAGAAAAAAAGACAAAACAGAAAATTGTCATTTGACCCACTGGTTCTACTGAGTGTCTCCCTAAGAGAAATGAAAGCATATGTCTGCACAAAAACTTATAAACAAATATTGATAACAGCATTATTCATGTTTTATTTTCCTACAAATTCAACTTTTGACTTTAAGGTTATGAGCAACAGAAAAAAGTTAACTAATAAGCTAGAATGTTTGTCAAGGATAGCTAGGAATCCAGGCAGCAAAGAAAAAAAAAATTGGTGTTTGTGTCCTCATAGTTGTTTAATCTTTTTCCAGTGAGGAGTTACTTCTGGGCCATGAGAAGTCACCTGCCTTTGGGGGCTACACAGCTGTAGCTCGAGGAAGCAGAGAGCACAACATCCGTGCCCAAGAGCCAGACAGTGGACTTTCAGAAGAGACTCAAGTGAAGTGTTTGATGGACCAGGCCACAGACCCCAATATTCTTGGAAGAACTTGGGAGGGATGGGAGCCCTGGATGTGAGGTCTGTGGGAACGTGACAGCAATAAAGCAATAAGTTTGGGCTGGGAAGGTGGCTCAGTGGTAGAGCGCTTGCCTTGCATGCATGAGGCCCTGGGTTCAATTCCTCAGCACCACATAAGCAGACAAAAAAAAATAATAAAGCAATAAGTTTATATTGAATACGTATTCAAAGGATCTCTAAACTTTCATTGATAGCAATTAGTGAGCTGATTTTGCTGAAGCACTAATCTTTTTAGTGGTATAATTCTATAGCATAGTTTCAGTCAAGATCATGACAAGTGAAGGAATGTTAATAAGAATCAACATTTTATAACAAACATAATAGGAAAACATATGTCCAGGTTCATCAAAGTCTTAAGTATGTAGCCAGTGAAATCAATGTTCTCAATGAACACTCCATGGACATTCTCATTGGGATATTGGAAATAATCCCTAGACTTCATCACTAAGATTTTGTGAAAATGAAGCCAACAGCAAAATTGATAGAATTTACACTGTGTCAAATGATTGTTCAAATTATAAAGGCATTACACGTATCAATTGCAAGTGAGAAAACTGAAGCTTCAAATTTAGGTTGCAGAAAATCACTTATAATTGTTTCAAAAACCAAGGCCTTTATGAACTATAAGGTGTTTCTGTGCAGTATACAGTAAATTGGTTCAAAATTTTAAATAAGAGAAGGTTGTAATGAGACAAGCTGAATATTAGAAATTGTTTAGGACACTAACAAACTATAAGCTTACTAAAAAATGCTAATTTCAAGCCGGGCACCAGTGGCTCATGCCTGGATTGCGGTTCAAAGCCAGCCCAAGCAGGAAAGTGTGTGAGACTACTATCTCCAGTTAACCACCAGAAAACTGGAAGTGGCACTGTAGCTCAAGTGGTGGAGCGCTAGTCTTGAGCTGAAGAGCTGAGAGACAGTGCCCAAGCCCAGAGTTCAAGCCCCACACCCTACTCCCCTACACCCCACAAGAAAGCTAATTTCATTCTTCATTTACAAAACAAGTTAATTAAGCAAAACAATTTCAGTGATGATAAATGCATTAATTATTTATTTAGGTGTTTAAGGTCTCGTACCAAGTTTTCTCTCAGAACTATAACCACACCTTCCCAGACTATATAAATATATGGTTGAACTAGTATTAATACATATCACCATTTCAATATAGGAATAATAAAGACAGGCAAAGCTGTGGTTGTGACATATTGAGAAAGTGTTTTGTTTAAAATGAGAAGATTTTAAGATTGTTCTCTAGGTTTTTTCTTTTCTTTCTAGTTTTGACGAAGAGGAAGTCTTAAGGAGGGTAAAAACCTCAGTCTTAGCATTCATTCTTATGACTCTGATTCACAACTGCAATCAGGAAATCTTCAGAGATCTCACATAGGGTGATGAGGAAGATAAGAAAGGACTCCTTGTTTGAGACAAATTCCTTATTTGGAACATCTGGAACAGCAAGATCTGATTATGAAACCTAGAAATGGCTCCTTCCCTCCTGCCCTCCAGGCTATGTCCTGTAGCTGTTTTCAGATTGACTTTTAGATTTTTGTTGTTTTTGGTTCTGAAACATTTCTCGTTGGTAGCTTTTGTATGATTTTGAGGAGTAATCATGAATTTGTTTAGGTCTGGGAAAGTTGCTTGGCAGATCTCTCATCTTGCATATGCAAGGGACTAAGTTCAATCTACAGCACTACAAAGAAAATAATTCACATAGAAAAAAACATTTCAAGGCTAGGTGTAGTGGCTGAAGCTTTACTTAGGAGGCAGAGATTGCAAAAGCCGGGTTCAAGGTCAGGCTGGGCTAAAACAAATTGATGAGACTCATCACAAGTAGTGGCTAAGAGCAGCATCCTGCGCTTTTATCCCAGCTGTGGAGAAGCACAATGGGTGTGCACAGTGGTGGGCACCTGCCATCCCCATCAACACAGGGAAGCACAAATGAAGAGGTTTACAGCCCAGGAGCCAAAGGTATTGTGGGACACCAACAACTAGCACAAGCCAAGCGCTGGTGGCTCATGCCTGTAATCCTAGCTACTCAGGAGGCTGAGATCTGAGGATCATGGTTCAAAGCCAGCCTGGGCAGAAAAGTCTGTGAGACTCTGATCTCCAATAAACCACTAGAAAACCAGAAGTGGTGCTGTGGCTCAAGAGGTAGAGTGCTCACCTTGAGCTGAAGAGTGCAGGGACAGCGCCCAGGCCCAGAATTCAAGCCCCACGACCAACAACAACAACAACAAAAAACTAACACAGAGAGGGCCTGGAAAGTGGCTCAGTTAGAAGAGCACCTGCTTAGCTCGTGTGAGGACCTAAATTTAAGCCCTGGTACTGTCCCCCTCCCCCAATCCCAAATGAAGCACACAGCCCTTCATGTAGTTTTAAGACTAAGGTGTTCATCTTACAAAACAGTTCATTGTATTACTTGCCAACTTTATTGAGGTAAATGTGGAATGTATTTTGGCATTAATATAAGTACTTATGCTCTTATGAAATAACGTCTATTGAACCAAAGAGATTTTCATCCTTAAAGAAAAGTGACATGAAAATTCTGTCTACCCGTGATTGGGGAAAATTTGTGCTACAACATACAAAGGAACAGTATAGGCCTATTTTGGACTTGAGTTTATTATTCTGCAACTATAATTTGTGCTTGTGTCCTGATAATGTGAGCTATATTCATGAACTGGATTACCTTTGTTATAGGAAATTCTGTTGTTTTTTTTTGTTTTGTTGTTTTGTGCTAGTCCTGGGACTTGAACTCAGGGCCTGGATGCTGCCTGAACTTTAGTGCTCTACGCTTATGCCCTACCACTTTGAGTCACAGTTCCACTTCCAGCTTTTGGTGGTTAATTGGAGAAAAGAGTCTTATGGCCTTTCCTGCCCATATCCTGCCCGGCTGGCTTTGAACTGCAATGCAAGTCCTCAGATTTCAGCTTCCTGAGTAGCTAGGATTACAGGCATGAGCCACTGCACCCAGCTACAGAATCCCACTATGTACTACTCAAGATCTCAATCCTCCTGCCTCAGCCTAGGATTCTGGAATTACAGGTATATAGTATGCCACATCTGGCCAGAAACCTTGTTTTTTTAAACAACTATCTTTTATTTCAATAAAAGTTCATTGTTGCAAGTCAGCTGTTGTTGTTGTGTTTGTGGTTCACCAAATGATGAATGAGAAGAAATTTATTGTACCCAGCATTCAAAAGGCATTGATTTAATCTAGATAATCTAGATTCAATCTAGATCTACCACTTACTGCTTATCTGACTCAGCTGTTACCCAAATTCTTGTAAAATGGACATCTGGTTTGGTGACCAGGAAATTAAAAAGACATCTAATTGATTATAATTACACAGAAGTAATATTAAGTATTTTATTAGGCATTTTATTAAACTATTAAGGGTGTGTGTGTGCGTGTGCTTGTGCATGTGCGTGTGTGCAAGCATGCCAGTAGCTGGTCTTCAGGGCCTTGACCTCTGCTCAGCTTTTTTTCACTGAAGGCTGGTGCTCTTATCATTTGATCTACACCTCCAGTCTGGCTTTTTGCCGGTTCATAGTTTAGAGTCTTGAGGATTTGTCTTCTTTCAACTTCAATTTTCAGATCTTAGCCCCCTGAGTAACTAGGTCTATAGGTGTGAGTGACCAGCACCACACTGAATTACTAAGTACTTTAAAGGTAGAAGTCATGTGCACTTTTCTCAAATATAAGTGTTCTAAAACAAACTTTTTTCTCAACAGTAGAGGTTGAGTGTTTTCTTAACCAATACCTTAGAGAACCTCTCCCACCCTCTCACTCACCGCTGCTTGGTACTGAAGTCAGTTGTGAGAGTAACAGCAGCCGCCTTTAAAAGCTATTCCTAGAAGAAATAACAATCATATCCTCAATTTCTTGAGCATTTCTTTTTTCTTTTTTTTTTGGGTCCGGTCATGGGGCCTGAACTCTGGGCCTGGGCGCTGTCCCTCAGCTCTTCAGCTCAAGGCTAGTGCTCTACCACTTGAGCCACAGCGCCACTTCCAGCTTTTTTCTTTTTGCTTATGTGGTGCTGAGGAATCGAACCCAGGGCCTCATGCATGCAAGGCAAGTGCTCTACCACTGAGCTATCTTCCCAGCCCCTCTTGAGCATTTCTTGAGTACTATTCATTAGTAACTTCTGCTTCAGAAAATTGTCTTTGTAGTTAAATGGAAGCATGGCTCCATGAGTTCCACGTTTTTCCTTTTGAATTTAATGAAATTAGATAAAGAATTTATGTATTGGCTTTTTCTTTTCTTTGTGTGTGTGTGTGCGCGCGCATGCACGCGTGTGTGTATACACTGATATTGGGGCTTGAACTCAGTGCTATACACTCTTGGTTTTTTAACTCAAGGTTAGCACTCTGCCACTTGAGCCACAGCTCCACTTCTAGCATTTTGGTAGTTAATTCTAGCTTTCTAGTTAATAGTCTCAAAGATTTTCCTATCTATGTACCTTGAATTTCAGATTTCAGCCTCCTGAGTAGCTAGGATTATAATCATGAGCCACTGGCATCTAGCAGAATAGACTTTTCAAAAAGCCAAAGGCAATTTTGTGCTTTTTTTTGGGGGGGGGGTCCTTTTTGCTTATGTGGTGCTGAGGAATCGAACCCAGGGCCTCATGCATGCAAGGCAAGTGCTCTACCACTCACAGCGCCACTTCCAGCTTTTTTCTTTTTGCTTATGTGGTGCTGAGGAATCGAACCCAGGGCCTCATGCATGCAAGGCAAGTGCTCTACCACTGAGCTATCTTCCCAGCCCCAATTTTGTGCTTTTAATAGGAATTGTATTGAATCAGGAAACTGCTGTCACCGTGCTGTAACTTTCACTTTTCTTGGTTAATATTATCCCCAGGTATTTAGTTCTTTTGGATGCTGTAAGGCATCACATTTCCTTCTAGTTATATTTTCATGTAGCCCCTGGCGGGTGTATATAAACACTACTTAGCTTACATGCTGGACTGGTGTTCTCTCCTCACACAGTGCAGGGGTGTTCGTTTGTATGCTGAACCACCCCTGCACTGTTGCGATAAATCTTACTTTGCCATAGTGAGTAAACCTTTCTTTTCTATTTTTTTTTTGGTCATGGGGTGTGAAC